TTGTTGTTGTTGTTGTTGTTGTTGTTGTTGTTGTTGTTGTTGTTGTTGTTGTTAGTGTTAGAGAAAATATAAGTGTGCATCGATGTGTGTGCGTGTGCTTGTGCGACGTGTGTACTGGTGAGTGTGCTTTTGTCTAGCTTCATCGCAAGTGACGTCATACTTCGTAGATGAGCAAGGTGGAAAAACTTCATTATTCGCATGGGCTAATGGTCACCGCTGTCGGAATTAAAAAATTAGCCTACTGGACCGTATTTCATCACCACAGGCCCTCAACTCTGGTAGGGCTGGGACATTCCCTAACCCTCATTAATCATTAAGCATATTATATGTTCGTAGGTGTACATGAGCATAATTATCGTCGGCAAGTTCAAAGAATGTACTTTACACTAGAAAGCAACATTTCACGGGAGAGATGTCAAAAGGATAAAACTGCTTCTTTTTTTAAAACAAACGTACCGACATTATATATTGTTCTTTTTGTTATTATTTTTGTTATTATTTTATTATTTTTGTTTTGTTTTAAGGGTTTTTAAAAAATTAGATCTATTTGTTAATACATGTACTTGTTCAGCATTTACCATTTGAATTTCAACATGATATTATTTTCTTCAGCACATTCAACCGATACCACAGATTAAAATAAATAAATAAACAAAGTCATGCTTTCTACATCTAATCAACTGGCCGAATATATGTAGCTATACCTACCTCTGGAGAGAAGATGCTTTGAGACATCGATATACTCCTCGGTTGCGGAGTGATGACGTATCTCCTTGTAGCGGCTCTCCCCCGGACCACGCATAGCCTGTTCTGTCCAGTGAACAAACGCTTTCCCGCGGAACGACATCCGGATGTCTGAAAAAAGGACACGCAAGCGGGAAACGGGTGAAAAAAAAATGTAAAAGGACGTATTCAGCAGAAAAATTTAATTTATAGTTGTGGTCAATTTATTCTTTTTACATTACTGTCTGTCCATCTGTCTGTCTGTGTGTCAGTCTGTCTGTCTGTTTGTCTGTCTGTCTGTCTGTCTGTCTGTCTGTCTGTCTGTCTGT